ATTTTTTTTTTTTTTTAAAATTTTTTAAAAAAAAAAAAAAAAAAATAAAATGTTATAATTTTACTTTTTTTTTTTATTTTTCATATATCTACAATTGTTATATTTAAATATCTTTATTTTTTAAATATCTTTTAATATTTTTATATAATTTTTATCACAAGATAATTTAATCATTTGTTGTTTAAAATTTTTCAATTACTTATATATATATATATATATATAATGAAACTTTTTTAATATATCTGTTATTATTTTTAATTCTTCTATTTACAAAATGGAGGAAAATATAATTAATGAAAACTTTATTTTAGAAGATAAAAAAAATAACCGAAATTTTTTATTTTTCGAAAAACCACATGATATTGATAATTGTATAAATATAATATTAAATTTTAAAAAACTAAAAATAAATAATGAGGAAAATTTTTCACAAATAATAAATATCTATAAAAACAATATAATAAGGGATATTATAAAAATTCAAAAAAAACTTGATCTAATCATAAATAATTCATTAAATAATGATAATAATAAAAAAGAATTAATTATTCAGTGGGAATTGGATTTATCACATAATTATTTCAAAGAAATTTCAATTGATAATATTTTGTCTATTTTAATTGAGAAAAACATAATAAAAGAAAAGGAGAATATTTTTCACATAAATAATTTAAAAACATTAAATTTAAGAAAAAATTGTCTCACCAAATTTCCCTATATTAATAAATACAAATTAAATAACTTGATAAACTTATGTATATCTCATAATGATATTAATGAAATTATATTTAATAAAAACAACATTGATAATTCTAATAATTTTGTGGCAAAAATAAATCATGATAATAATGAAGGTATTTTAAATGAATTAATCCCCAATTTGAAAAATATCTATTTACAAAATAACAAAATTGAATCATTTCTTTTCTTAAGATATTTATTTAATCATCATAGAGAAATTACAAATATAAATATCAGTTTCAATAAAATAAGTCATTTAAATCACCTCCCTTCTTTAAAAAACTTAAAATATTTGGATGTTTCATTTAATACTTTGTTATATTATGACTATGAAGATAATGAATATAAAAACATAAACGTAAAAGAGCTTGAATATTTCTGTAATAACGAAAATACTGATCTACATAAAAATAATGATTTTATATTTCACAACTTTTTATTAACATTAAAAAATTATTTTCCTAATTTAAAAAATATAAATACAAAGAACACTCTCATATATAATTTAATTAAATACAATATAAAAAAAAAAAAAAAAAACTCCATTTATTTTCCTTTTTAAATTTTATCTTTTTTAAAATTTATTATATCTGTATATATAATTGTATGCATACATATATATATATAAATATATATAATTTTTTTTTTTTTTTTTTTTTTTTTTATAAGCATACAATATGTTTAATTATATGATTAAGCATAAACTATTATAATTTAATTACCTTTCTGACAAAATTAACCTATTTAAAAATTTAAAATAAAAAAGTAAAAATTTGTTTTTTTTTCTTTTTTTTTTTTTTTTTCCTAAATAGAATTTCACATTTTCAAAATTTTCTTTCTTTTTAATGGAATTTTTTTATATATTGATCAATCCTTTCATTTTCATTTTCATTTTCGTTTTTTTTTTTTTTTTTTTTTTTTTTTTTTAA